CGGCAGATGCTCTGTGTGACTTCATTCAGATGAGACCGTTTCCACCCTCCTCCATCTTTGTTAAGCGTTTTACATTTGTGAAAAGAATTCTGTGCTAAAATTTACGGAAAGGAAATTAATAAATAAAAGCCATGTTTTAAAGCAAAAGCAAAAAGTTCAGAGGGATTTTATTTTAGTTCCACTTTAAAAACTGACCAAACTGTCACTATTGAAATGTTTTTCAAAAAGAAAACAACTTTGAATATGACGATGGATGAAGAATACGTCAAATTCTGTAAAGATACGTTTTTTTTTTTCTGACAACCTGAGTAAGCGTCATATATTGGACCACCTGACAGCCAACACTGACAGGGTGCTAGAACATTTCACCAAACAGACAGTGTTGAGGCTGACTGTCAAGTAAACCTAACATCCTGGAGAATCTAACATTCAGCTGTTTTTTCCGGTTAACAGGCCCTTGCAGAAGAATTTATTAAATAATATATAGAATATGTTCAAAGGACTGCTGCACAGTTATTTAATGAACCTGAGGTCATTAAAAGTCATTCATGGGAAAAATAGAAACACTTAAAGGACAGCAAACAGGAGATTTAATCAAAGAAAACGGTCCATTACACAAATAACACAAATCAACACACATATAAAACATCAAATTGAAATGAAAAGAATAAAAATTAAATAAAAAAAAAAACTATCAATCCTTTATAGGGCAAGTTACAGTTTTTGATCATTTGCATATCCAGTCATTCAGCAAAGATCCTGCTACATGGCTGGACATCTTATTTTCTGCATTTCACCAAAGAGATAAACCCTTGAATGATTATAGTACCTACTGGAAATTAAGAAGTTAAGGGAAAAAAAAAGTTAACTGTCATGATGTTACAAAGTTCAGACCCAAATGCAGAAAACCGAACAGAGAGACCAGGGAAAAGGTTTAACGGGTTTTATTGAAGAAGTAAAACAGAGGGAGAAGTGTTGCTCTGAACACTGCTCAACTGGAACTGTAAAGTGAGGGGAAGACACAGCGGTTAGTTCAGGCTCAGTGGGGAATTTGACTTGTGAACTTGGAGAAGAGGATTTGGTTGCCGACTCACGTTTCCAGAGAAGTTGTTGAATCCTTGACTCCTGTCTGTGTGCTGTAGTTCCAGTGTTTGTCTGATTCGGTGGAGGGCCAAACAGGGTTTACCCAGAATGCGGTTGATAGTTAGTGAACGGAGAAACTGACTGCCACTCAGATTTCCTGCGGTACTTGAACGGGTCGTAGTGGAGATGAATCCCTTTCTCAGTGAGAAGCTCAAACGATCTCTTGGGCAAAGTGGATCCAAACCTCCTGTTTGAACCCCAGCTCAGTTTGAAGCTCAGTTTATCCTTCCAGGGAGAGAAGGTCCGAGAAATCCAGTTTGCAGGATGACTTCCTGCCGAGAGGCAAAGACAAAACCATGTCATGTTCGGATTAACGTATCTAACCCACATGCAGAACACTCGGAGGCAGAAGAAAAGTTCTGAAGAAAAGAAGAAAAGTGGAAAAACCTCCAGATCCCAACAAAACAAAGTTAAAGGAGAAGTTCGGTTTTTTACACTTTAAGCCCATTTTCTGTAGTGTCCAGGATGAAATCGAATGATCGACACCAAAAGTTTGACAATTGCTCCTGTCTCTGCTTTTTGGCTCATGCAGAATCCCCCCCTGGCTGCTTCAGAATGGCTTCCATTGTGCATGTCCGATAATGTCCTTAAAACAACCTTAAACGTTCTTTTTTTTAAATATGCTACTCACCGTGTCGTCAGCGCTGTTCAATGACGTTCCAAAAAAAGTTTCGTGAAGAAAAAGCGTTCTTGTAGTGTTTTATTTAGCATTTTGTAAATCCCATTGAGTTCTGTTGGAATAGTCAATATTCCCCTGCCACCGGAAATGGAAATGGGGCCTGTTTACACAGTTGTAGTCTTTTCGCTTCACTCTGTGTACTCCGACGTCGAGGTGCTAACGTCTCTGTTAAACACTTTAAAAAACTCTGAAAATGGAATACGAAAGGTGGATTCTTGATTCTCGACGTCGGAGTACACAGAGTGAAGCGAAAAGACTACAACTGTGTAAACAGGCCCCATTTCCGTTTCCGGTGGCAGGGGAATATTGACTATTCCAACAGAACTCAATGGGATTTACAAAATGCTAAATAAAACACTACAGGAACGTTTTTTCTTCAGGAAACTTTTTTTGGAACGTCATTGAACAGCGCTGACGACACGGTGAGTAGCATATTTAAAAAAAAGAACGTTTAAGGTTGTTTTAAGGACATTATCGGACATGCACAATGGAAGCCATTCTAAAGCAGCCAGGGGGGGATTCTAAATGAGCCAAAAAGTAGAGACAGGAGCAATTGTCAAACTTTTGGTGTCGATCATTCGATTTCATCCTGGACACTACAGAAAATGGGCTTAAAGTGTAAAAAACCGAACTTCTCCTTTAAACTCAGGTTGACAAAAGCTCAGCTTGACTCAGCAAAGTCAGCTTAGATAGAGTACCCTAAATTGGCAAACACTCTGGCGTCGAGGTAGTGGCAGTCAGCAGCTTAAGAACACTCCGTTTAACGAGGAAACCATCAGCAGGTGTGTGAGGAGGCGGACCAGAACCAGGCGCCTCCTGGTGGATGAAGGGAGACAAACACAGAACACAAACACAAAAACAGGAGTCCTGACATTAACAAGTCAAGAAAAATGGGTAAAAAGCTATTTTAAAAGTTAAAAAGTTAATAAGTCTAGTTAACTATTATATTTAGGTCTATAAACTAAAAAAAAGAAAGTGCCAGTATCAGCATTAATGCCTCTAAGGTTATGGTGCACCAAAATAAAATGTGTTTCTTTCACTTAACGTTTTTCATGAATTTCTTACAGAACCACTTTTTTATTTTCCTTAATATTTTCAGGCAAGTTGGTGCTTCTTCTTATTACATTGACATAAATTTTTAACATCAATATATCCATATTTTTTAATGTTACAAAGGTAATAAGGTCTTGTCCTGGATTCCAGTAACACTGTTGGCTTGAAATTTTATTTTCAAAGTATTTCACTGAGTGGCCTATAAAGGGTTACCTCACTAATGTGTCAGTTCTGCGGTATAAAGCAGCGGTTTTTGAATGACCCCAAAAAGAACCATAATTTAGACTAGATGAAAAATAAAAATAATTCCTTCAGGATAAATCCATTTCTAAATATAAAGTAATTATATTCATTCCTATATATTTTTAAAGGCCATTAAATCATCTAATCCATCTTTTTAAATGTATATTAAATTATTTTATTGGACATTTTATAATAAAAATAATATATTTAATATTAGACCAAAGTAATGAATAAATAAATGTTGAATCTATTAATTTATCTTATGTTTATTCCACAGGACGATCACATTTATATCATATATTTCTGCCAATCATGTACCTCAGGCAAAAAACAATGATTGGGAAGACCATGATGACACGCCACACTTTCTGTCTCACAAACCCCCTGGGGTTCCAGGTCCCATTTTGGGGGCCCCTGTAATAAAGTAATAAAACAGTTTGAACTCATCTCCTAAAGCAGCCGGTACAAAAGCTCAACCAGCCTCTCAGCGCTGCAATTATGCAGCTTTTCACAGAGAAGTAATGCAGCTTCTTGAAAACTGCTGAAAGAGAGCAGGTATCCAACAGAAAGCCTTCATCATTAAAATGATTGCATCATCTGTTTTACCTCCTAGATATAAACACTGTAGCTGCAGTAAACAGAGTTCATCACTCTCTCTATGTGGACTAAGAGCCTTTTAGAGCAAAAAAGTTTGACTCTTCATGTTTATGTCCTGATTTCTTCTCTGAACTCGGCTGCAACATGAGTTTAAAGGAAAACAATCAGAATTCAAACTTCTAAAAGTTCTTTAAATATGAAATTATTCCATCCTGTTCAATAAATGACCAGTGTTTTTAATTCAGAGTAATTTTCATGTGAATGTGCTTTACTGGAGGCATCCATGTTGGTCAAAGAACACTACTGCCACCTACTGGTTAGTGACGTCACGGTGCGGTATCGGCTGTTGATCAAGTCCCAGTGCTGTATCTGGTGTTTGTCACAACGCGCTATTATCCAAGTCATCTTGAAAACATTCTTCTTCCAAATGTTGGCTACATATTACGGGTTTTTTCTCTGGCCAGAATTTCGATGGCAAATCCTCCCTCTTCAAGTTGGCGATCCAACGACCAACCCGTCCGTGGAGGATCAGGAATCAGAAAGGTGGAATAACTCTTTTTTTTCACTTTTACCCGATGTATTCCAGCATCCAGCTGCCATGCACGTGGGCATTGTCAGTTTCACTATAGCTCTGGTGAATTTCAATGGTGAAGTCCTCTGGAAATCTTCAATAATTGTTGTTGATTGCAGATGTGTCTAGTAGTTCCCATTGATTTAGCTTGGAAAGCGGGGAGAATGGCGCTAGGCTTACCACACCGTGACTTCACTGCTGGAAGATGGCAGGAGGGAGGTGTACTCATTGTTTTTATTATTTTACTGATTAATGCTAAATTAATTAAATCACTGCAAACATATTAGTTTTAGGTATAAATAATGATCCACTGATTATTCTTTTCTGACGAGACTTTTCCTTTAAAGTACATCCCTCCACCCTCTGATGTCCTTTTACCACGTAGATCCTTGACCTCCACAAACTGTGACAAACAAAAGCTATGAATGAATTTAAAAATGCCGTCTGCAAACAGGCCTGCTCATAAAGCGTTGGTTTTCTTGTAGTTCTGTCAGTAGTTCCAATTTATAGATAAAAAAGAAAGAGAAATATTTCCCTGAGGTTACATCTTTCCTTTCTTTATTAAACAAACAAAACACTTCCTCCCTCCACTTTAGCTTGCAGAACAGCTTCACTGGGTCCTTTGAAAGGGCACAAGAGAGAAGGGGGAGAGGGAGGGATGAGAGGATGGGCATGTGTGTCTGTGTGTAGGAGAGGGAGGGAGGGAGGGAGGGAGACGCTGCATCAAGCCTGCATGCAGCAGCAGTAGCAGGCTGGGCTTTGGGATCCATTGTTCCATGTTTTTTCCACCACCCGGGTTTATTCCTTCTCAATAAGAAGCCAGGGTAGAAAAAGCAAAGAGGAACACAGAAACATTAAAGGAGCTGAGGTTTGTCTGGGCAGGATTTTTATTTCTCAGCCATAGTGTTGTGGACAAAGGAGAAACACTCTCCAGCTCTTTGCTGTTGGCCAGGCTTGCAGTTGACTGCATTGGGAAGTAAGCGCTCTCAGCGTGGCGGCTATGGGGCTGCCTGGCGGAGCTCTCCTTCTGCTGGGGGTTCTGAAACAAACACCGTGCCTCTTCATCTGGAAGTTATCCCTGCTCCTTTTCTCCATCTGGGCACTTGATGCACAAACCACAGTGGAAACTAAAGCCTTGTACATCTGGCAAACAGGTATGATCCATCTTCCTTTATCACCTCCTCAATTTGGGGTTGTTTAATGGATGTCCCATCTGCTCCCATGCTTTATTGATGCCAAAGCATCAAATGTTTCTTCAGAGTGAAGCCAAATAAAGGAGAGTCTCTGTGTTCTTCTGCGATTTGCTCTGTTATAAGTGATGAATCTATAAACCTTCCTTTCTCTTCAGCAGATATCTTCATTTACAGCTGCAGTTTATTGCTTTTTTGGTTAAAGGTAAAGCACTGGAGCCGTCCTACTACCATTAAATGAGTTAACATATTTACTGCAGTCCCAGAAGGGAATGCCTCTTGACCCCTAAATGTCCGGCGAAGGTGTGAGTTTTTGCAGCTTTCCCTTTGCTTCTAGTTTAGTCCCGATGAATCCAGGCAGCTGGGACTCCTCCGCTGCTGTACGCCTCTATTGGACTCATTCATCACAGCCTGGCGTGTTGATGGGAGATGTTTATGAAGAGCAGGTGCATGCTGTCTTTTCCAAAGTAGGGTGGGAGAGTGTAACCCACAGCGCAGAACGTCCGTCGGTTTTTAATCATTAAAAAGGGAAAAGTTTTATTGATTATGAAACCAGTTCAGAGCAGTTTATGTATATTTATAACCTAGACATAGATGGGAAGGTTGTATTAATGGGGGTTCATAAGCCTTTCAGAGAGGTAGAATGAAATGAGGATCTCCGCTGGGCTGGTTTGGGTGTGCCGGATGAGTCTCGTTCACTGTGGGAGAGTAGCACATGGTCAGGAGGACAATACTGATACATGGTCCAGCGAGCAGAGCGAAGGAGAAGAGGGAAGATGGGAGGAGGCCAGAGTAGTAATCATGGGAGAAGGAGTCAGAGTATGGATCTCCATTGATCCATTGGGATCCAGGTGCCCTTTGGGTCCGGCTGCAGATCAATGCTCTCCTTCTGTACTGTTTAATCTTTCACTTTCTCTTCATCTTCATACCCCCCCCCCCCCCCCCTCTTCACACTAACACACACACACACACCCAAACAACAACAAAGATAGGACGAATGAGTCGAAACGGTGCAGGAAATGTCAACCTATATGGGTTTTCTTTCACAGGAACAACAGCAAACTTTTGGTTTACAAAAAAACAAGCAGGCTGTTTTCTGAGATGTTTTTCCTTTAGATTGACATTAAGCTTCATTTGTTTCACATATCAATTTTATTATTTAATCTTTAAGAAGTTTGATGTTTATTATCTACAATCCAACTAAGACGCCCTGTCTCCAACCTTGCCAGTGGGGCAGTGTCCTCTTTCCACACTAAAACACATTTAAATCTAAATAAGTGCCTTTTTTCTTGAATTCAGGAGGTAAATGAGACACTTTGCCAATGGAACAAGACAATTTACATTCAAAATAAGAAAAAAAATATGGGATTGTCTTATTTCAACTGCATATTACCTAATTATCTTATCTTTTTTCAAGTTGTTATGGCATTAGTGGCTTAATTTTTTTGTTTTGAGAGTAGGCTGACAGGAAAGGGGGTATGAGAGAGGGGGAGAGACATGCAGCAAAGGACCACATCAGATTCGAACCCAGGTCAACTGCGTCGTACATGGGTGGTGTGCGCTAACCACTGCACCAGCAACACGCCCTAATTATCTTATTTTACTGTTACAAATCCTCATTCCATTGGCAAATCATCATATTTACCTGCTCAAATTAATTTACTAAATGTTTACTTTTATTTCTAGATTGTATCAACCACTGATTCTAGATGTTTTTGCAGTGCAGTAATCTTTACAGTAATTTGGTCTAAATTAATTCTTCCAATCATTCTATTAATAACATTGATGACAAATAGTTTCATCCAAATACTAAATCAGTTAAAATTTCAACACTACAACAACTATCTAGAAATAAGTAAAACATTTCTTAGATTAAGGGTATTCACCCTTAATTTGAGCAGGTAAATGAGATAGTTTGCCAATGGAATGAGTAATTTTACTCTTAAAATAAGATAATTATTGTTTTCTTATTTTAAGTGTAAATTGTCTTGTTCCATTGGCAAAATGTCTCTTTTAACTCATCAATTCAAGAACAAATGCTCTTATTTCAAGACAAAATGACTTATCTAGATTCAGATTTTTTGCAGTGAAGCAGCTAGCAAAAAAGAAAAACCCCACATTGCATGAATAGTTTATTACATTTTCTGCTGTAAAAGAAAAAAAGTACTTTAATATCACAGCAACTTTATTTTTAATATTTGTGAGCTCCTGTTTTGACCCTTTCCATCATGCAAGTTGTGTCTGATAAACAAAAAGATTATATCAACACATAATTAGTTGAACAGAGACCAGAGTGATGACTTGATATCTTACATACAATATTAAGTCAAGATGTAAAATCCAACTCCAGTTACAAGTCCTTCAACATTTTATTCCTGTCAAGTCTAAAATCATACAGTATATGACTGGAGCCCCAACATTATTATTATCTCACTGTTAATTGATTCATCATTTCTACGAATTACAGTAATCTCACTTTTAGGATTAATCCACAAATATTGTCTTCAGGTTTTCTTCATTGTAGATTACTCAGTGAGAAAAGCAATGGGCTGAGCCCACTAACTTGAGGAATCCACTGCTAAAGCCGGGCATACACTGTATGATTTTTTGCACTTTTCGGGCCGATTTTCCAGTCGTGTGACAATTTTTCGATGGGGCCGACTTTCTAGCCTCGTGAGACCATTCTGATCTCGCTTTCAAGGTTTCACTCGCTAATCAGTCTGGAGACTCTCCGTTAAAGAAAATTTGGAGCCGTTCACCAAACGAACGTCCAATCAGCGTTGGCTTTGAGGCGGGTTGAGGTGTGACGCAACGAGAAGCGCGACAGTTCAGTCTAAAGAACATGGCGAGTTCAGTCGATGAAACTAGCGTTAGCGTGGCTATCGAGCAAGTTTTATGGGAATTACAGAGTATTTCTTCACTGAAAGAAGAGCAAAACACTGCTCTGGAGGCTTTTCTCAGAGGAAAATATGTTTTTGCTCTTCTCCCGACTGGTTTCGGCAAGAGTTTGATCTATCAATTGGCTCCTCTTCGTCGTCGCTCTGTTAGTACGTCATATGCTTCGTTGATCTGATTGGTTTATTTGGCCCGTCTATCACCAACATAGGCCAATCAGCTAACCAGTATTTCCGCCCCTTCCCAAAATTACTTCTACGGAAGGTTTCCAGATGGATATGCGGAGCAAATCCATCTGGCGGAGTCAGGTTACCGACCTTTAGCCTGATTGTGCGTGGCGTAGTGTACAGGGGGTAACAAGGGGCGATCAGCCTCTAACGACCACCTCCCCATCAGGAATCGTAGGGTCGGGAGAAAATCAAACATGTTTGAAATTCAGTCGCCCGTCCTAAGGTGGTCGTGCGTTTCACTCTAAGGAGCTTCATATTCCTCTTCTAGTCGCTTGGCTTCCAGATAGACGAGTCAGAGTAGCGCCATCTCATTGCAGAGCTGAGTCCCACCTGGTTTTTAGACGTACAGTGTGAGCAGGTAGATCGCATCGGAGCGTCGGGTCGCACAGTGTAAGAACAAAAATGGTGAGTGGTGAACTCAGACCGTACGACTAAACCCTGTGGTTTTGTAGTGTAGCTGCGTGCAACGATTAAAAAAAATCGTACAGAGTATGTCTGGCTTTAGGGATATGTTTTCCATATGAGAAACTGTTTTTACTGGTGCAAAAGGGAAATAAATGCACCAGTTATTGACTTATTATCACTGAGACTTTATTTTGGATGTTTGTGAGCTCCTGTTTTTACACTTTCCATCATGCAAGTCTGATAAACAGAAGAATTAAACCCGTCCGAATCCTACCGCGAACATAGGAGTTAAAATAGTCAATATTTCTGTGCTGCATCTCAGTATCATTTTAGACACATGCATTAAAATCCCAAATACGTATCAGTATTTAAATTAAATGATCGACTTGTTACATTGTGTGGTTAAAATTGCAGGATGATCTTTGTCGCTGTCATCACATGTGTTGTTGGATTCATTGTTCACACCCTGTGGAAGGTAAATCCGCTCCTGGTATTATGGGCTCTACCTCCCACGTGTTAAAGCAGGGGAAGAGATTAGGGATAGAGAAACCAGAGCAGATTGGCCAGACAAAGTTAACCTAGATACAGTATAGACATGTTCATATGTTTCCTCTGGCCTTAATATGTTGGCTCTTAGCGTCCCCAGGACGGTAGCAGCAGTCACATGCAGACCTAATCACTTTTAAACCAACACATTGAGATGAAAGGAGTTGTTCTTGTCCAAAATCACCTATTGGTCTATTATAGCACTTCCCAACTTAAAGTTGTTTGATAAAATATTTACTGTCTTAACAACAGACTTGCACTAAAAATTCAATTAAGTTTTATTATTTATTTCTATATTCACATCACATGTCATCTCAGGTCACTTTCCAGTTCAACCAGATCATCCAGTCAGATTGATTCAAAGTTTTCTATCTAAGGAAAACCATCTGATTGCATCGACTCATTGACTCTTCAGCAATCCCTCACACTAAGCATGCTTGTAGCGACAGTGGAGAGGAAAAACTCCCTTTGAACAGGAAGAAACCTCCAGCAGAACCAGGCTCAGTGTGAGCGGCCATCTGCTGAGGCCCACTGGGGTTCAAGGAGACAGAAGCAGACATAGAAAAAGAAGCATAGATACAAAAGGCAACTGTCAACCAGCTCCACAGGCGGCCCCGTCCAGGAAACACACAGCCAGGCAGACGAGCTCCGAGCCAGCTCCCATGTCAGAGGATGAAGAGAGCACATCCAGTTAGTCACAGTCAGAAAACTAACAGACAGTAGATGTGTTTCTATCAACGTTTTGTTGATGGAAACAGGGAATGTGTGAATGTGCTGAATTTCACTGTTACAAGTCTGAACAAAAGGACCCAGTATTCAGTCAAGACGGACAGTGAGATTTATTAAAATAAACAGGGAGTTGCAACATCTAGGGCAATTAAGGCTAGA